TTCTAAAACATACTATTTAATTGTTTCTAGTGTGTTCACAGTTGTGCAACTACCCAAATCATCTAATTTCAGAATATTATAGTATTGATTATATGTTGGTCCTTTATGTTTATTTTTATTATATTTATGTGCCTAGCTTATTTCAAAAATAGATTAGTGGAGGAGGCTACAATGCTTGATAAGAAATGTACTCATTATCTTGCCCATGTAATTGTAACCCCTCTGTTCAGTATTTTCACAATTAAAAAAAACAGATTTGTGGTACTTTATATTGTAACATCACACACACACACACACACACACACACACACACACACACACACACACACACACACACACACACACACACACACACACACACACACACACACACACACACACACACACCCCACTGGGTTCGATTTCTCAGCACCACATAAGCAGAAAAAGCCGGAAGTGGTGCTGTGGCTGAAGTGGTAGAGCACTAGCCTTGAGCTGAAGAGCTGAGGGACAGTGCTGAGGTCCAGAGTTCAGGCCCCACGACCGGCAAAAACCAACCCAACCCAACCCAACCCAACCCAAACAAAAAACCCATGTAAATCTGAATTTGGGCCCTTTACAAGCCCTCCTCTTCCTTACTGGTGGCCTCTCAGATTCTCTTTCTTCAGTCTCAGCTTATGTAGAATTTTTTCCCCCATGCTCCCCAGAAACATTTTCCTGCCTCTGTTGCTGTAAATACCATGGCGTCTGGAAGGGTGGAGAGAGAGAGGGCCATGGGTGTATATTTCTCCATAAACATGAACTCCTCAGCAAGCAGGGCTCCTGTACATCCCCTTTATAATAACAACAATAATAATAATTAATAAAAAGAAAAAAGAAAGAGAAACCCCTGAGAGCCCACCTTGTTATTCATCTTTACATTCCTGGTACATTGTTTTGAACCAGACTAAATGTTTAACATTTTTTGTTTCTCTTGATTCATGGATGAATTCTGGATGGTGATTTGTAGAATATAGAACTTGCTGTATAGTTTTGTTTATTTGTGCTTAGTAAATACACACACACATACACACACACACACACACACACACAAACACACACACACATGTATTCCCGTATAGAGTTTTTTTTTGTTGTTGTTGTAGTTCTTATTCCTTTTTTAGAACACTGCAGTAAGGCTTCTAACACCCATCAGTGTCCTCAAATTGCTCTTGCTGGATTAACAATGACCCAGTTTCCAAATCCATTGGGCCATTTCTCTAGTACTGTCTTCCTGGAGCTTTTTTGCTGCGGTTGACTGTACTGTAGCATTTGTACTTTTGAAGCTCTTCAGTCCTTGTATTTGTGGAGCAGTGAGCTTCTGCATCTCGTACCATCCCCTTTCCCTCCATGGGCTCTTCTTCCTTGGTTACATCTAAGTATTGGTGTCCCTAGGCCCCATCTTTACCTTTTCTCTGGGACACCTCAGCCACTCTTTCTGTTTTGTCCTCTGACCAGAATCCCAAGGTTGGGCCTGTAGTCTGGTCTCCTCTGAGCAGTTGTCTCCTTGGCATCGGCCCTGGAATTCATTCAAAGCTCCATAAACTATAAATATGAACTTCCCCTTCATACCCATTAACTGTTTTTTTCGGTAGTCTTTCTCATTTGACAAAATCATACTATTTACTCAATTACTGAAGCCAGAAATCTAGCAGTCCTCCAGAATCTTCCTTCCTTATTTTTGCTGTCAAATTTACCAGCATGACCTCTCGTTTTTTTTCCCTTCAAGATAGCAGTTTTACTTCATTATTCTAGACTCCTTTCTTTCTTTTTTCCAGTCCTGCTGCAGAGTGAGCAAGGAGTGGAGAAATGAGGCTATGAAGGCTGGTCATCTCATTTTGAGCCTCAGGATAATCGAGGCTGTATTTGTTATTTAGGTGTATATCCAACATTAAATATCTCTGACTTTAGGTTCATGCCTTCTAGTTTCTTTATTGGCCTGGTCTACCCAAGAATTCTTTGCATGAGCTTACTAGAAAGATTGAAGTCTTGCCAAGTGCCAGTGACTTATGCCTGCAATCCTAGATACTTGTGAGGCTGAGATCTGAAGATTTCAGTTTGAACCCAGCCTACGCAGAAAAGTCCCTGAAGACTCTTCTCTCCAATTAACCACCCAAAATGCTGCAGGTAGAGATGGGGCTCAAGTGGTCCAGTAGCAGCCTTGAGTGAAAAAGCTCAGGGACAGCATAACACTCAGGCCCTGAGTTGAAGCCCAAATATGCACCAAACCCACTCCAAAAGAACAACATACCCCAAAACCAAAGAGTGATTTGTGTCTTCCCAAGCCACATCAGGGACTCTTCTTCAGCCCTTCCTTCGTATTCCACGTAGCCTGCATCTGAGTAGCAAGCTGAGGGCTCTATGTTTAGGAAACCAGAATTCTCTAGTCTCAGAATTGACCTTAGACTGTAGTAAGGAAAAAACAAACTTTCTGCTGTATACAGCACACACACACACACACACACACACACACACACACACACACACACACACACTGAACACTGATCATTTCTTCTCTTCTGGTCATCAGAATATGTAGTTGTGGCACACTGACTCATACTTTGATACCAGCTGGTCTTACAATTGAACCCACTTCAAATGCTGTCTTCCTGGAGAGAGCTTGAGATTGCATGGATTAAACTTTCAGCCCCACAAACCCCAACACCAGGTTTTCAACTGTGCTCAGACTGTTCAGCTATAAATCATAGGCTCCCATGATCCCCTTCTCACATCCATCATTTGCTAGAGTGACTCACAGAGCTCGGGAAAACATTTTATTTATGTTCACTTTTTTATTATAAAGATTGTAACTCAAGAATAACCAAATGGAAGAGATTCAGAGGGCAAATACTGTGCTTCTGATAACGTGTATTTATAAGTAGATTCATTTTTTATTGTTTATCACTGGGGTTAATAAAAGAGCATTAAAGCAATGATGATGATCTTCCTCCTCCTCCTCCTCCTCTGCCTCCTTTTTTTTTTTGCCAGTCCTAGGTCTTGAACTCAGGGCCTGGGCACTGTCCCTGAGCTTCTTTTGCTCAAGGCTAACACTCTACCATTTGAGCCATAGCACCACTCCCAGCTTTTTCTGTGTATGTGGTAATGAGGAATCAAACCCAGGGCTTCATGCATGCTAGGCAAGCATTCTCCCACTGAGCCATGTTCCTAGCCCTGATTCTATTCTTTTAGAAGAGTTGAGGTCTGGGCTGGGAAGGTGGCTCAGTGGTAGAGCGCTTGCCTTGCATGCATGAGGCCCTGGGTTCGATTCCTCGGCACCACATAAGCAAAAAAGAAAAAAAACTGGAAGTGGCGCTGTGGCTCATGTGGTAGGGCACTAGTCTTGAGCTGAAGAGCTGAGGGACAGCGACCAGGCCCAGAGTTCAGGCCCCACGACCAGACCAAAAAAAACAAAAGAGTTGAGGTCTGCATACAAATCTGAGGCCAAATATGCAAAAATAAATAATTTAAATGGAGATTTTTTTAAAGTGCCTTTGTCAAAGGATTCTGTTTGGCCCAGGCAGTTAGCTCCATTTAATACTTTTCAGATTGAGACAAACTATTCCTTTTATTAAGTTAGACCCTTGTGGAAGAAGTAAACATTTTATCTTTAAGAAGACTAGCTTATTAAAATATCGAATGCATCTCATTTGTTAACATGAAATTGTTAACATTTGTTAACAAGAAATTTTTGGTGTGGGAAGTAAAGATAAATTTTAGGAAGTAAGACTTCTCAAAAAGATAATGTTCTTGGGTAAAATGCTTAGTAGGAACCATAGTTAGCTAGAAAGATATGAAGAGAGAGAAATTCAGAAAAGGGAAGAAGGAAGAAGAGGGGAAAGTTACCCAAGACACTCTGCTTTTATTCCTTAGGGTAAGCCTTGGCAGAATCTGTATTCTCTGAGCCAAGACCTTCCATTCTTTTTTCAAAACTAAGTCCTGGTTTTGCTCTTTCTAGAAAATGAGTTCATTGTTGTTTTGGAAATCGTGTTGCTTGCTTCCCCTTAAGGGACAGATAATTAGAATTCCTTGATGAAAAAAAAAAGGTCCTATGTTCTGTTTGATAGATAAAATCATTTTCTCAACCATCAAGTGTAATTCAGCTTTAATCTTCAGGGAAAATGAGAGATTTCAATGTATTAAACGTAGAGAACTTAATGTTTATGACCAATGTTTTATAAAGGAGGAAGCCAGCTCTTAGCTCTACTCTGAAGGAAATTGTTGGTAAGAAATCATTTTGAGAAGTAAGATTTATGGTGATATTAGCAGCTATAGAAGCTGGGGCAGTAAGCAACCAAAACAACTGAAGCCTTTTTTTTTTGGTCATGGGGCTTGAACTCTGGGCTTGGGTACTGTCCCTGCGCTCTTCAGCTCAAGGTGAGCGCTCTATCCCTTGAGCCACAGCGCCACTTCTGGTTTTCTAGTGGTTTATTGGAGATAAGAGTCTCACGGACTTTCCTGCCTGGGCTGGCTTTGAACCGTGATAATCAGATCTCAGCCTCCTGAGTAGCTAGGATTACAGGCGTGAGCCACTGGCGCCCCGCTCAACAACTGAAGTCTTGTTCTCTCTTTTGTCTTACAAGAAAGCCACACAACCATTTTTTTTTTCCTGCATAGACCCTCTCTGAAAACCAAGAAGGAAAAATATTTACTCATTCAAAGCAGTAATTTATTGTAATGAACCATGTCACTTCCTGATAATATAGTTCCCCAAAAGGGAATTGCAGTGAATTTTCCTCCATTCATGTTTTCTACCTTCCCCTCAAATCAAGTCCTTACAGTTGAATAATCTATTGATTTAGGATAGAGTGGGTTGGTAATTTTATCTTGACCTCATTCATACAGAGAAAGACATAATTTAAATGCAAAAAGTCAGGCCCTTCCACTGCAGAACCTGTGTTGCCTACGTATGTGTGGATGTACATACATATGTAGAGTGTCCGGTGGAGCTTGGCTCAAGTGGTAGAGAGCTAGTCTTTAGTAAGAAAGCTCAGGGACAGTGCCCGGGGTCGGAGTTCACACTCCAGGATTGGGGCGCGCGCGCACACACCCACACCCACACCCACACACACCCACACCCACACCCACACACACACACACACACAAATTGCCATAAACTTCATTTCTTAAAACAATAGAAATTGATTTTCTCATAGTTCTGGAGGCCAAACGTCACTCTTCCAGCTTCTGGTGGCTCCTGACATTTCCTGGTTTTGGGCTGCATGACTCCATCTTCTCACATTGCCACCTCTTCTTTTGTCTGAAAACAATCTTGATTGCATGTAGGGTCCAGCAGGATAACCCAGGGCAAACTCTCCTTCTTGGGATGCTCACTGTAATCGCTCATTCATGTATATGTGCAGGTCCTGCACAGATGTTTTGGAGGGAACCATCCAGTTTACTACTAGGACTTTAAACATTTTTATTGGCTCATAAGCGTTGGCATGTTTTATGTCTGTATTCTGTCTGCATTAACAATATGTTGTTCTAAAATCCTAAGTAGATTCAGATGGAAGTAAAATGATAAACCTTTGTTTTCTTAAAAATGCATCTTACTTTATTCATACTACGAACTGTACCATCCATCAACTAAAAACCAGAAAAATCTTAAAGGGAACCTAATCCCAGTGTCATTTGTGAAAGTTAATCACTAAAGTCTGAAAATATTGAATCACTAAGCTATTAAAATTATTTTTCACCATATGTATATACCTGGAAAGTATTGAGTGATGAGGGAGACATTTAATGATGATGAATAGATGTTGAAAAATAACTGAAAAAAAATCTTTGAAATAAATGAAAGTAATTTATTTGGGATGGTAATATTGTCAATGAAATAATCCATAAGGCATATACCTTATGAGCAAATGTTTTGACACAAAATATTTATGAAGCTAAAGATAGCAACCTATTTGAGTTTGTTTCCAATTTAATTCATTTTTATTGAGGCCAGCCAAGTGTTTCTTTTTTTTCGTAGTATTCAGAGAGACGTGAACACGTATTGTCGAATTGAGTTAACCTTTCTCTGGATATTCTTTACATACATCAGTCTTATTATAATTACAAATCCTTGCCTTCCAGTTGCTGACAGTAGTGTTAGATGATGTACTGACCTATGAGGATTTACTGGGTTTTCTTGGCGTGCTTTGGTGGTGCTATGGTTTTTGGAGGGCCCTCATTCAGTCTGTAGACCTTGGAAAGGTTTTTTTTTATGTGTAAGCCTCCATTATATGTTTAGTTTAAAAGTGAAACCTGTAGCCTGGGGCTTTCCTTATTGCCCAGGTTTACCCCAAATGCAGAGAATTCATCCTAACTCTAAAGGAATTAGAGGCTAGTGGTATGTTTCTAGGACATCGTCTTAAGAGTCTTGACTGGGTAGTGTTTTCCATTTCTTCTGAAAACAGGTAAAAGTGCAAGGTAAGGGGTTTGTGGGACATTCCTGTCTCGCTGCCTTTAAGGACATTGTGGGGACAGTGAAAAATATGAACGTGACTCATTGAATCCAATCACGAATGACTTGGAGTTTAGGGTTTCTTTGTTCACTGACTCTTTCTCATTCAGTCTTTTTCTTTTAACTTACTTTATCTTTAATGGCAATGCACTTGGCTCATTTCTATGGTTGATTGTTTACCAATGCTTCCCTTTCTATAGTTTCAGATTCCTCAAGTTCCTTTCCAAAAGTGCATTTGACATTTTTGGTTCTGAATTTCCAATCTTTTTTCTTAACCAAAAGCCACAAGGAAAACTTAGGTTTAATATTTTAAGTTTCTGCATTTTAAAAGAAAGTGGTTAATATTCCTAAAGTTAGGTGTCCTTTTAAAAATGCCTTTTATTAGAAATGTACTCATTACCTTACTTATGTAACTGTAACCCCCGTTCATCACCTTTACAATAAATATATTTTAAAAAATGCCTTTTGTTGCCAGACAAAAATATGAAATTTTATTTTTAAAAGGTCATGGTTTCTTCTTTCTAATTACATTCTCTGAAGTTCTGATAGTATGGGCCCTGTATATAATACCATACGAATTCTTAAATGTGCTTTTTATAAAATTTTCTCTGTAGCCCGAGCAGAATTCAGGACTCAAACCATTATTCAGAACAACTATAGGCTTAGAATAAAAACCCAGAGTTCCTGCTTTGGTATACAATGAAAATTGTTTTGGATATGCTTCTGGTTGAACCATCAAGGTCAGATTCTGTGACTAAGAGGTGTAATTAAGATGGCCGCCTTAAAGTATAATGTATCCAACAGTCATTTCCTCTCTTTTTTGTCTTTCAGCTGGGACCCTGTGCTTTTCTTAACTTTGTATGTGTAAGTGTTCTTTTCTGTGTAGATGCTATTCATTTCCTTTGTAGTGTGTATTTTTTCTTTCATGGTGGGGTATCTATGCTAGTCTATGAATACAGACTTGCAAAGGCTAGTGCCTGACCTGAAAGAGGTTAAAGGCTTATGAGAGAGGCAGGCAGATAACAAACCACTAGAGAGCTTAAAGTAATAAAGGCTATTGTAATAGGAAGACCAAGTTTGCCCTCCTTGTGGCTTAAACTGTCTAGCCATCCTTCTCCAACTGATTATTTTCTTTCCTATTCTTTTTCTTGTCTGGAAACCTCCTTATAGATACATGCACTTACATATTGCTTGCTTACACTTTTCTGCTCCAGGCTTCCCTGTTTTGGGAGTGAAAGCTTTTTGTAGAGCCTTTTTCCTGATTCAATTGGCAGTTTTGCCTTTAAATGTTAGCAGAGAGAAAAATAATGTGTCTCATTATGTGTGAAACCTTTAGGATATTTAAAATGGCAGATTCTCTAAAAGGAAAATTATTCATAGTATATAGGGTGGAACATTTTAAAAATATGGAATAAGGGGTGTTTCTGTGTTTCTGTGTGTAGGTGTGTATTTGTATGTATGCATGTACAAAAAAGGAAAGCATTACCTCCATTTAAAAATAAATAATATTAAGGTCAGGTGCCAGTAGCTCACAACTATAATCGTAGCTACTCTGGAGGCTGAGATGTGAAGATTGCAGTTTGAAGCCAGCCTGGGCAGTAAAGTTTGTGAGACTCTTATTTCCAATAAATGACTCGAAAAAGCCAGAAGTGGCACTGTGCCTGAGGTGGTAGAGTGCTAGCCTTGAACATAAAGAGGCTCACGGTCAGCGCCCAAGCCTGAGTTCAAGTTCCAGGACTACCCCCCCCTCCAATACACACACACACACACACACACACACACACACGCACGCACGCACGCAGCAGCAGCAGCAGCAGCAGCAGCAGCTTCAGAGGTAATGAATCACATATAAAGTCTCATCTTTTTTTTTTTTAATGGAAAGGGATAAAATTACTCTTAAAAATTGGAGAAATGTTTTTCTCTTACTTTATTTTGAGTTTAAGCGGATATTTACGGAACAATGAAACACAGGTAAATAAAACCCAAGATTATCTATGTTGCTTTTATCTATTATCTAGTGTTGCTTTGTGTGTCTAAATTCCAAGTGAATTACTGTTAAACTGAGATATGGTCCTAATTCTCTGCTCTTGGACCACCTCTGTTTCCTCATTCATGATAAAAAATTGGTATGTCTGCTCATTTTCCATTTCTCTCTCCTGAGAGAGTTACTGCTTTCCCATTTTTGGTCCTATCTGTTCAAGTAGGTGCAATCTGGCCCAGTCTCTCTCCCTCTCCCTCTCCCTCCTCTTGCCCTCCCTCCCCCCCCTTTCCTGCATCATCCATGTCAATAGATATCTGCCTACACTGGCCACCATCAGAAAGAAGTCAACTTCTTCTGGATTCTGTCTAGAGCTATTAAAGAAAAGAACCTTATTCTCTAGAAGGTTCCTAAGTGGAATTAAAAGCTAGAATTCTAGGAAACCTTCACATGGACATAACTTATAGAGACAGGCTACATAGGAAGTCTGACCTGCTATCTTCATGGATCTATTTTTGCCTTTCCAGGTATTTGAACAATGAAGGCTTTTAGACTGTGGTTTATGGTAGTTTTCCCTCCTTCCCTGTCTTTTTTACTTTGGTACTAGGATTTTCAAATCAGGGCTTCATACTTGCTAGACAGATGTTCTATTACTTCAGCTACCTTCTCAACATCTGAATACCTTTTCGCTCCTTTTCCTCCCCTTCCCTCTCCTGTGCACATTCTGCTTTCTTCTCTCCCTTTTATTTCTTTCTTTACTTTCTTGAATTTTCTTTTTGACAAAATACCTCATTATGTCGCCAAGCTGTTTTTGAATTCATGGTCCTCTTACCTCAGCCTCCTGAGTATTGGAATTGTAGGAATCAAACACCACACTATGCTGAATGTGTTTGAACTACTCTTACAATATTGTTATATGTATTGATAGTAATTTCAGTTTCCTACTGCTACTGTAATAGTGATTTAAAGCAACACAAGTTTTATTATTTACAGTTTTAAAGGTCTGACTTCTAAAAATGGATATTATTGGGTGGGCTAATCCAAGTGTCAGCCCAGTTGACAACTTTGGAGGCTTTAGGGGAGAATTCACTCCTTGCCATAAAGTCAAGGCTTTTAGAGGTTGCCTGCATTCCTTGGCTCAAGCCCCTTTCTAGCAGTGGTATACTCCAACCTTTCCTTCCTTTGTCCCAGTTCTTGTGATAATGACTCTTTGCCTCTGCCATATAATGATCCTTATGCCCATCTGGATTATCAAGATTATATTCTCATCTAAAGATCCTTAGCTTCATTACATCTACAAAGTCCTGTTTGCTTTGTCAAGAATTGTATTTTCCAGTGTCAGGGATTAGGAAATGGAGGTCTTTGGGGACATTATTCTGCCAACCTGATAATTATGATGCTCGGGAATATGATGAGGCTGAATAGCTATGACTGATCCTTGCTTATGAAAGTACGTTCAGAATTTTATCAAAGAAAATAAGTTCTATCCCAAACCATCTATGAGGCTAACCTCAGGGGATTACATTGATTTGGTGAAAGCTTCCTTTGACCAGTTGAAAGTGACTTCCTTCACAAAGGG